AAAAATACTTTTGTCTATTTTCCTGACATTTATTTTGCCTTTTATTACAGTCTATAAAGATTTTCATATCAGAAGTGCTGGAAATGGTAGCTGAGCTTCTTATGAAACAAAGATACTGAGAAATATATATGGTATTGTGATTAGATAAGGCAAAACCCCACCGCTCAATTTATTTCTCAAGTTATTCACATTCATTCTCATATACTTTATTGCTGCCACATTAAAAAAAGCCCAAAAAACAGCTTCATAATGTAAATGTAAAATTAAGGATTTTTTCCGACATGCACAATTTAAAATGCTAGGACAGTGGAAAAAACTATTTTTCCACACTGGATTTGTTCAGTAATATATTTCTATTGAAATTCAATATGAATATTCAGTATGGATTTCTGAATTCAATGGGACATGTAACTTTCACTGCTACCTTGGTAATTCTTTACAGATGGTGTTAGAAGGTAAGAATCCTTTCTGTGTGGTGTAAATTCCTTAAGATTTGGAGAATGACTATTTGCTTACTCATTTTGAGGCACATATAGCTTAAATTTTCATCAAATATGTTGTTTAATGCAAGCTTGTTCATTGAACTCTGAATAACCAGATCCAAAATGTAACTCTACCATCTATTCTAATTTATATTATAACTCAAGCCAAATTCTTATTTTGATTTTAGTTTTGAGCAGAACTAAATAGCTAAGGCCTAGTTTTAGCTTTTATAACTCATAAAACTTTATGATCCTCTAAAATCTGTCCACAAGTATTTCATTTTCTGACTTCCTGTGGGTATGAATTTCCCGCATACTCTGAAAAGGTATTTTTTATCTGTCCCAGACTAGTCTGCATGCAGAGTCTGCCTTACTCAGATCACATGCTAAAAATCTTCCATAGGCACAAGATTAAATGTTTTGCTGTGTATTATTTGCATTCTATATTCTGCTCCAATATTCCCCAGCTCTCGTGTGCAGCTGACCCCACCGTTCCCCATCAGACTCATGTAGATATTTGGTCACTGACAAGCTGCAGTAGCAGGAGGCTCATCTGAAGGTGGCAGCAAGAACACCTTTTTCACTGGCAGAGATGCCAACAGGATAAACGTGAAAGTTGGAATAAACTACTTTTGGTTTTAGTAAAGCCTTTAATACAGCCATTTTTAAAATTATATGTATGAATAAAAATTAATTTAAAGGTGATAGCTGGCTTCCAAGGCAGAATTGAGAGGCAGAATTTATTAACTGAAGCACAGGACTATGCTAATGAAATATTTAATGCTTCCAGGACTTCAATAAGTATTTCTAGACAAACCTTCACTGCCTTTTATAGATGTACAAGTCTGGGTCAGTACTACTTCACAGCTGTCTGTGACAGGCATGACTGGATTGCATAGGTATGGTCTAAGTCTGTTCTGTTCTGTTCTTGTACTGTTTGGTACAAAGGAAAACTTGTTCCTGAGTAGGCTTTCTAGGCCCCTGAAAAATAAAAAGAATTAATAATAACACCCTTAGATTCCTTTCTAATTCCCATGCCAAAAGAAGTAACGTTAGATTTTTGTCCCAAGGTTATTCAGTTTTTATGCCATAAAAACATGTACAGATCAAAATTGAAGTTGGAGGTTTTCTTTCACATTATTTTAATATTAAAATATTTCCATTTTATGAAAATGAAAATAGTATTCTGAGTTGCTTAATGATTACATTTGTAATAGTAAAAACTTAAATCCAAAATGTGTTAGATTTTGATTTTTTGTAAATCTTCCCTTCCCTTCCCTTCCCCCCCTAGTTTTACAGTGATCAAGAAAAATAAAAAAAAGGGAATGAGAAGATGATTTATATTTTTTAATGTAAGACTGAGTGAGGGTAGAAAAATTGTATTCCCATTTTGAAATCTCTCTAATTTCAGCCAGGAGCAGGTGGAGAGTCATCACAGTTTATAAAGCACAGCTGTGATAAACTCACATTGAATAGCTCCACTGAACAGATGAACTACTATATTCTAGGTAAGTAGAAGATTCAGGAGGTCATCAAGAAAATGCATTTCAAATATGCAACCTGACCTAGTTCAGAAACATACTTTTGAACGTGCAGTCCCTGAAGAATTGGTATATTACGTGTTTGCATTATATTTTCTGTATTCTCTACATCCTACATTTTGGATAGATTTACGTGTTTTTTCAGTACACAAAGCAGAGTTAGCCAATCACAAATAGTGAATATTAAATACTCTATCAAGCCCTCCTGTCCTGGGGTTATATGTGAAGCAGTGAGAGGTCCAGTCGCCCACAGCAGGCTTTGTTTAGTGCCACCGGGGATGGCTGCCCCCAAACTGATCCGATTGCCGCAGATGGTTCTGCTGAGCCCCTGACGGCTCCTCCTGGCACTGCTGCCCCCCATGCTGATGTATGACCCCTTGAGCTGTGCAGCTGTGACATCAGCCTTGTGTTTATGGCAAACGAGTAAGTTTTCGTTTTAACTGTGCATCTGCTGAGCACTGCACAAGCCCCAGCCTGCTCCTCAGTAACAGCAAGTTGCTGGTCAGTTTGTAATCCAGCCACGAGGGAGGGGTTTCTCTGTGTCCAGTGGGGCCCTGCTTGAAGCAGAGGCAAGATGCTTACCTGTTCTTCACAGCCTGTGGACTCTCCAGAACCATCATGACCTCTTGGCTGACTTGCTGCATCCCAAAGCATTTGAAACCTGAGCGATCTCAAACAATTATTTAAAATTAAATGTGCAAAACTACATAAATCAAGCTGCTAAATGTAAAGCCAAACATCAATTTGACACGCACTTCAGCCATGCTGAAGGTAGCAGCAGCTGTAGTCACTACTGGGCTCCCATTTCATCTTGACCCTGTTCATTACCCTGTGGAAAGATTCATGTTTCATTTTACTACCATGCCAACCAAAATGTTAAGCCAGTGGACATATGATCATTAAAGCTGGCTGGAAACACAATTGATTTTTTCACTGAATATAAAAGCAACTTCTAGTCCAGTTTTGTGATGGGATCTGCAGGTCTTCTCTGGAATTCTAAGAGCATAGCTAGGAGCTGAGGTTTTGAGCCCAAAATGGTTTGGGTTATTTTTTTTCCCATCCAAAGAAGGGAAATAAAGATCGATGTTTGACTTCAGAATGTAACAGCCCCCCCCCACCATCCCTCGATCATTGAGAATTTCCCTCTGTGAAGGTTTTTCCCCTTCCCCATTTTTTTTCATTTAATTATGGACAAAGTCCTGTATTCAGTGAAGTTAAAATATAACTAGGACCTTGTGTTTAGATGACTGGAGGGCACTTAGCTACAATTACATTGACACGAGGGTGAATAAGTCTTCTAATGTGATCACACCAAGTGCATGTTTGGTTGTTTCTGTCACTTAAGAGAAGTTTTGCAAAATGTCAGGAGCTTAGGAGAGAGGAACAAAATAGGGAGACAATATAGGGGGCTCTGGCAGGAGGAAGACATAACGACTGCAAGATGACAGATGCCAGTGGTAAAATGATTACTGCTGTGGGAAGCTTAAGAAGTAAATGGCAAGCAGCTAGGGATGGAGTTTGCATGGACCCAGATCTCAGATCTGATCCAATTGCAGACCAGTTCTAAAGAAAAAGACTATAAATCAGTTCAAGAATTCTAGTGAATCATGCTTTGTGCTCATGGTTTGTGATCTAACCAGCAGTTCTTGATGGAATTACAACTGCCCTGCTCACACTCACCTGCTATTTGCTCTGTATTAGGTTAACAATAGTAAATAAACTGTGTATTGGATTTCAAGCTGACCTGTTCATGCCGAATGAATTCGTCTTGCCCACAGGCTGTCCTAATTCAAAACATATGTATTGATTTAAATTCTGTTGCTTCCATACATTAGGGTATTGTTTTGATTTTTGCCTCATCAATATTCTCCACGTTTTTGAATGGATGCATAGTTTGATAAGGATTTGGTTCAAAAGAGTTCTCAGGTAGATGTGTATAAGGTGGTTAAGGAGTAGAAGTGAGGTGCACTATGGTGATGTTGTACAACACTTATCCCTGTCACCTGCAACCAATTTAAGATAGTTTGTCCTTTTACAGGCACAACCTCCATTAGCATCAAAGGGAGCTTTTAATTGCAGGAAAGATGGGGTCCTTGTTTAGTGAAAATAAAACTGAAGCCAGAAAAATGATAGTAGGATAGTATATTTCTCATACAGCAATGTAATAGGACACAGATAGAAGTTTTCCATTTTTCTCAGACTTCTAAGGGGTGAAGAATTTTGTACGTAAAATAGAGTATTTCCTAAGAAGAAATTTTTAAAAAATCAGAACCTCATGCCAGACTCTGAACAACAAATTTAGGCCTCTAAATAAGCAGCCTGAGCTCTTCAAAAGTGCTGAGCTCTGCCAACCCCCACTGCTCTTAGGATACAGATTCTAAGGCTGGACATCATTTGACTGCACGTTCTTGCAAAGAAATACTAAGAATATGCAGTAGGTCAAAGTGGCTCCTTATCTTTGTGGGGCGATAAGGGCTGCTGCTCCTCCGAGGAAACAGTGTCTTAGAAGCGGAAGGCTGCACTTCTTATCATTCAAGTGTGTGCCATAAAGGGGTAAAAATAGGGACGCTGAGGATAAGAAAGCTGAAACTAAGGCACCTGCTACCCACAGAAGGAAACTTGGGAATGAAATAAGTGAGAGTCTCTTCTGTTTTGAATGCTGCAAATCTTCACTTACAGGAACAAATAATTTGCCTGTAAAAGCCTCTGAGATTACTGATATGAGAAAAGGCTTCCTGGATTTAGATTCCTGACTTTATCATGCAGACAACATTCCATTTACTGAGTTTTACCGAAGTTGAAAATGTTAGAGTTGACTGAGAGAATTAGATTTCAAGAGCTGTTAAACATTTGCAGGACATCCTAAACCCCCACTGAAAATCATCTAGTTTGTGACCTAAATACAGCTGATTAAATAGAAAGTTTGAAATAAGACATTGACATTGTATCACTGTCATCAGATAATGCATAGTTCATTCAATCTCACAATATTTTAATCCAGTATTCACTTTGCCATGATATATAAGGCAGGCTATTTACAAAGATTCCCATTCCTTAAATACCAATTTTCCCTTAAAACAAGCAGCAACAACCAGTCCCACACCCTGCTCCAAACCTTGTTTGTAATGGTCTTCATTTGCATCACTATTATACAGATTTACAGAGGACAGAAAAGGGGCATGTTCCTATTCTTAGAGATTCTGCCTTGTATACTACCTGCAGCCACATTCTGCCACTTTCATCCCTTCATAGTTATATATCAAAGTGGGCACACCAGCATCATCCTTATAAAGAATGGAGATTGAATCCAGTTTGGTTGGAACACAACAGGCCTTGGAGGCTTTTTTTGGATTTTGGAGATGCACCAGAGTTTGGACAATAGCATGTTTAGTTGGGGTGACATTATCTGTCAGAGGGAAGAAGCAACCTCCTTTACACTCAAAAGCCTCATAATCTTTTGGTGCAATGATCCAGGAATCCCAGCCAATCTCTTCAAAGTTCACATGGAGGGAAGTTCTCCTGCAGTGGTTGGCTCCAACACTTCTCTTGCTTCTGGAGGAATGCAGGTGGGATCCAGTGATGGCCTTTTCCTCTCCCTGCTGTTCCTCTTCAGATGAAGTGCTGTTCTTCCCTAGTTTCTTGAGCACAGTTTCTTGCTCATGAACAATCATCTCGCGGAGCTCCACTTTGGTCTCCTTTGTCCCGTTGCTGCGGTCGTTGGAGAACACAATTAACAGGGGCAGGTTTTTTGTGTCAGGGCTAACACTGACATCCAGCTTCCCACAAGTAAAACCACTCAGAGCTTTAGTCTCTATAACAACCTCTAGCTTATTTTTAGTCTCCAGCTTGTCTGCCCTGACCCATCTTTTCACAGCGCTGGACACTTCGAACATCTTCCAACCACATTCCTGGATATTGTGGGAGACAAGGGAAGATTTGGTATTTTCTGGGTTTTCCCAGTGGCCATCATCTAGAACATCATAAATTACCATGTTGCCTTCCAGTCTAGAGAGAGACCCAACTTCCCTGTGACAGGAGATATAAATTCTCAGTTCAGCTCTGGTGATTTCCTCATATTGTGGAATAGAGATGTTGAAGAACAAAATGTGTTTCTGAAATGGGTTTTCTTCTGGTGAATCTAAAGAAACAACATCTGCAATAGGAAATTAAAACGTGGTTACAGTGCTTCTGACTGTCCAAGTAAGTTGATTTTAAAAGACTCAGGATATATTTTGGGGATAAGAGCATTATAACACATAACACAGCACTAAAGAAAAAAAAAAAAAAGAAAAATCCTCTCTTCTGGCCAAGTTTCAAGGGCAGAGAGTGAAAAGAGGAAATGGAAGTCCCTGGTGTTGGTATTTTACTGTGATTACATAGCCAGGTGAGTGTGTAGAGGGAAGCATAAGGAGGCTGCCTAGAACAAGCTATGGATGATGCTGGGCAGTATTAAGTACATAAATAAGGCAAGTGCAGAGTTTTCAGATTTAGTAATTTGCTAAATATATTTTTTACACAAAGAATTTGTAAAAACACAATGATTTCCTACTTTTCTGCTCTAATATACATATATAAGTGTCTTGAAGAACTGGCTGTGCTGAGGCTTTTGTTGTCTTCAGATAAGTTTGAAAGCAGCTTAGACTGGGAGTTTGGGGAAATATAAAAGTTTTTGAAAGTCCTGAATTGCAGCTCCAATGTCTATCTGAACTGGGACTTGGTGATAAACAGCCTTTCATGCCCAGGTCCCAGACTGTTCCAGGATGCACTCCCTGAGTTTGTGTGGATTTCACATGTTTGTTTGTTTACAAATCCATGCGCAGTACCAGCAAGTCTGCCTTGGGAGGGGCAGATATTTGGCTGGAAGATCAGATTGGTAGTATTTGAAAGTCATCCCTGATGTCTCTTTAATGCTCAATGTAAACTAACTGCTTAATCATGACTGGATTTTAGGGCAATTTTAATTGGCTGTTGCTGCCATTTCTTCAGATCATTTACCGTGTAAAGTAGTCAGAGGGGAGAATGAGATATGGAAACTATAATCTAGGTCCTATAGTTGAGATTTCTTTCTATTTTAGGACTAGGGACACTAATTTGGGAATTTGGAGTTCTCCATAGTGCTGTTACCTATGTATGTCTATTTTTCATATAAACAGAAACTTCATTTCTCCATTTCATTTTTGTAACAAGGACTTTTTGCACTTATTTCTAACTTTTTTACTGCCTGATGGATCTTTTAGAAGTCTATTTAATGTTACATAGACAGGGATCTTGAATTTTTTCTGTTGATATAAGCATGACTAACCATTTCCATATAAATCTTTGTTTAACCCAGACTTTTGGAGAAGCAGTGCTGTTCCTTGTTTGGATCCAGCAACAAATCTCTCAGCCAGTTGCTGTAGTTTTTAAATATGTACAGAGCTCACCAGAAAGAAAAGCTCTCTAGCATCAGTCTCAATTATAGGTGATCAAAAGTTTGCATGCTAACATAAAAACTCATTTTGAAATCTAATATCTAGGATCAAGAAACATGCTTCATGTAAACCTTGTTATTTGGTGCATCATCTTAGCTCAAGTATTTGAGAAGAGAGTATTGTACAGTGAAAATATCAAAGAAGAAAACTAAAGGTAAATGCATTTTTTAAAGATTGAAAGAAACTCTATAATAAGAATACAATCCAAAATTGTAATATTTAATTTCTAAAGAATCTGTGCAAGTTAGGAACTCAGTTTCTTCTGAATTTTAAAAGAATCTGACTATTTATAATTAATTTACTTCTTTAAAAATTGTAGTCCACATATTGAGGACTTTTCCTACCTTCAGTACTGAAGCTCCTTACAATATTGGATGCAGGGATGGAGGACTTGTCTGCAGCATATCTGTTGTATAAATCAATCATGAACTGTGGTGGTTCTTCTTTGGTCTTCACTTGTGAGGGGACTCTTGACAAATTCAAACTCCTTAGTAAATCCATCTTCATATTCTCCAAGAAAGATTTAAAGTTGAAATGGGTCTCATCATCTGCTTCCCCAGGATGAAAGTGTGCATCAGACTTTCCCATAGCTGATAGCCTGTCCCAGTCTTCCAAAGGCTTGCCTCTTGTCAAACAAGCAATGATGTTGAAAACAGACAGTGCAGCTAATACTCCAAAACAACACATTTCTTCTATATTTACTTTCTGGTGGAGAGACAAGAGGATGATGGTATTTGAGCTGATTGCCAGTCTTGTTTCAATACAGACAGAGGAAAGAAGATGTAAGGCAAACAACTGGAATGCCCTTTGCAAATCACTTTCTGGTGTTCTTTTTGCAGTCTGCTTCAAACCCCAGCCTCTTGTCAGTTGTCAAGCAGATTGGTCATACACTTGTCCTTATCAGAGTCATTGATGCCATGCTTCAGCTTCTGTTATCTAGCAAAGCTCTTAGTTAATGAAGATTCTGTAAACATCTGACAAACACATGTGGCTGGTGGGAAGGACATTGTATATTGTAAAGAATCCACATTTCACTTTAGGGTCATCTTTGCTTAATTACATTCTTCTATCATTTCCTTGCCAACACAGAGAGAAGCTTTCTTAGGGACGCAGAAGTTTACACTGTTTTCAGCAAGACTAGAAAATACAGACCTAGAACAAAATCACTCTATTAGCTATTAGCAAATAACATCTCACAAATAATTTATACAATCCCTTCACATATGATTAGAAAATGCCCATTAGTTTGATGGAGACCTGTGATTCTGCAAGACTTGATCTCATGACATTACAAACAACCTTAAAACTTCTTTCCGTTTATCAGCCAAGGGCTATTGTTTGTACACAGTGAAATATCTGTTTTGTGTCAAGTTTGCTTCATGTTGTTTGCAAGATTGTCCATTTTCATTCCTTTGGTGTATGGGAATTTAGGCTTGTTTTTATAGTATCTTATGTAATATATTTCATAGATTCATGATGGTCAATCCAGTCCAAGAACAACCAGTCATTTTTTCAGCAACCTCAAAATGAAGACAGAACTAGGCCTTCCTAGGCAACATGGAAAGTAAAAAGTCCTTTTGAAGATACAGAAGGTTATCTCTGAAGATATTGTGCGCATGAGAAGAACAGGCTAAGGCAAATGAATTTCTCAGGATGCAGAAGAAAAACCAGGTTTATTTATCTTAATGCATGTACTATGATTTAATCTAATTATATATAATTGCTTTTTCTGTACTAATAATGCATCATTTTTTCTAAGAACAACTCAATTCGTGCTGTAGACCTGCCAAAGAATCTGAAGAGTATTGAGCTTTTACATTAACAAAAATCTCATTGCAAACATGTGGTCAAGATTTTGCCGTTTTTGGCCATTCCTCTTGTTTTTTTTTAGCAGTGGATACACAGCATTAAAAGTGATCCGAGACTTCTGCAATGCTTCTTTATTGTCTGTTCAAGTGATAACTTGGTTCCAAGATCCTGGTTAATTATGTTCCTATGACATAAAGTCAAAAAGGATTATTTGGCATTGATCCTGGTCTCTTGCATATCAAGACATATTTCTTCAGGGCCTTTGTGTTTCCTACCTATACACAGAGTCAAATTGCTTGTGTTTGGATAAACATAACTTCTAAAGTGCCAACAGACTTTATCTGAACATGTCAAAGAATCAAAAATTTCTTCAATTATTGTAGCTAAAATATTATAACCTACAGCTAAAAAACCCTTCATGCCATGCTCATAATTTTATTGTGCCTGACTTTACCTTCTAGGCAGGGATTCTTGTAACTTTCTGGCTAGATTAAGGAGTCCTATGACACTGACATTTTCCCATTTCAAAGTGCTTGCACCGTATAATCAAGTTACTTCTCAGTTTTCTTTCTGATAAAAAGATTGTTCTTTTGAGTAACAAAAGACATTTTCTCTCCCTGTTTTGTTTTGTTTCTTTTTTGTTTCTCTTTCAGAATTTGAAGGTCTTCCTGACAAGGTGAAACCTAGGGCCATATATAGCTTTTTAGTGGCAGTCCAACAGTGCCACATGCAGAAATAAAATATCCTTTCTTTATGTGGTTCACTGCTCCAGTGTGTACCTTTCCAAAGCTTTCACTGGCTGCCATTACATAGCATCATGCTGGGTACTCAAACTGCATCACAAATCCATAACAGCCACAAAATTTTTAAGGGTTATGACTTTCAAGGGCGCAGGCTTGTATTCAGTAGGAGCAGCCTCCATTCCTTGTGACTAGGTACCTGAAGTTCTGTATCTGTCTACTTTAAAATTAATTTTAATTACATAAAGTGCAGCTAGATCAAGTGATCTATATAAACACTTCTCTTCTACTGCAAATACTTTGGGGGTTGCTATATACATACTCTAAGTTCATACATAAAGGTGTCAAATACTGTCAGGCCAAGTGTCAGCTTTGCAGAAACTTTACAATGAACAGTTTAACTCAGTGGAAATACCTTTTGAAAGCTGTTCTTTGAGGTTTGGCAGTGAGACATTTTTTAATTAATGTGATACACAAACACATTAATATTGTCCAGTGGTTTATTTTAATTATGCAGCCTTGGCAAGTGAATTGAATACTCCACAAAAATTTAGGTACATTGTAGCTGTTGCTGTTACCTCTGGCAATTAAACAGTGGCCTGAAAGAAGGAAATTGGATTTGTTTTAGAAAAAATGCGTTTTAACATTTTGTTGGCTAGTATCAGCTGTTTTCATGTTTCATCTGTCTTTATTCATACCATTTTCTTTTAGCAGTAATTAGTGGAATTATCTTGACCTGTGTTTATCACTAGCAACTTTCTCTATAAACTCAAGCATTGAGTTTATAGGATGTTTAAAGAAATAAAAAGATCTGTTGCAAGAAAGAGGATCTGTTGGAACCTGTTGCTGTGAGGGTATCAGCATCCTCTGGCAGCAGCTGTCTGCATTTGTGCCATTTCAAATGCAAAGTTTCTCTTTCCAGAGAAAGATTAGACATCCAAATTGCAAAGATCCAGAAAAGAGTAACTTAAACCACTAAAAGTGGTTGAAAGCATTTTTTTTTTCATTGAAGAATTGACCAGTACAGCTAAACTCCAAATGAAATAAGCTTTGCTAATAAGAGATGTGTATGACTTGTGTGGAAGGGTATATTTTGAGAACAATCACACTTACAGGTATAATTATAGTTTTGCCAACAGAACTTTAAATGCAGTCTTAACCGCTTGGGAGTTTTGTAGGTGTCCTTGAGTGTTGCAGTAGCATTTTTCCTTATGTCCTATCGACCTTAGATCACAGTGTGGTATCTCTTGCCATGATAGCTTGCATCAACACATCTTGGAAACAATGTTTGCATTCAAGGACTAATTCAAGATATAGCAAGTATTCCTTACGGAAAACAAAATGCTATGGATGAGAATATAGGCACACTAAGTTAATATGTCAGGCTTTTCAGAGTTAGTCATAAATGGGAGCAAGACTAGAGCTACATAAAAGATTTTCATAGAGAGCAGAAATATCATGGATTTAAGATACTTTGAAAAATGTTATGCTTATGGCTTTTCTGTAGGAATAATGACTGACAACTTTTAAATTTTTCTTTATACATTAGCATTACTCTATCAATTGTAGTTGAGTTTCTCATGATTCATAAAAACACAAAATTGTAATTTTTTTAAGGGAGATCTCTAAAAGCAACACTATACAAAGGTTTTTCCCAGTAGTTCTAGCGTAAATTACTGTAGCAATTTACAAAGTACAAAAGTACTTTGGGAGAAGAACTGGAAAGTTGATCTTTTGTGATCTTCAGTGATCTTTTGTCAGGCATAACTGGCAGTCACTACAGGGCACCACAGAACTTTTTACTTCTTAGTCAGAGCTTTCTAGGAAGAATTAGCAAGAACTGCTGTCGGAGCAACCTTGCAAAGCCTCCCACACATGCTGAATCTTGCTTTTATGTACGTTAGCAGGAAGCACCACATTTACACACCTCTGTTGTCTGAGAAACTGCACCACCTGAGCACAGAAAACTGGTGGCAGAAGATACCCAGAACCTTAGTAGGATAGGAGCCTTCCAGTTGTTTGTTCATCAGAAGGAAGTGTGTGTAGTATCCTTCCCTTAAAAAAAGCAGCTCTTAACAGGACAAGGTAGTGCCTAAGGTTAGAGTGTTTCTTGAGGAGGAAGCACTCCATATCATAATTTGTGCTACTTTAGGGACTTCAGATGTTTCTTCCACTCTTGGTCTCTTTATGCTATTGTACAGCGGATGGGTGAAAATGAAGTATGTGGCAAATGTGTCCTAGAACACGGGAACACTCAGAGGATTGACAGACACCATCATGGGAACACCAGCTCTGAAAAGACTGCTGCAGTTAAAAGGCTACCATAAATGTATCAACAGGGGATTGTGTAGGAGTTAGAGATGCAGAGACTTTATTTCTATAAAGACTTTCAATGGAACCACTGCCAAATGTTTCCCATTTTGATGTTCATTGTTTGAAAAGAAAGTTAATGAAAGTTCTGGAAAGAGTTCAGAAGAGAGCTGTGAGAAATTGTTTTAAGGCTTAGAATAAGAAATCAATCTATTTAAATCTTAGCCAAAATGTAACTTGACCCTACTCTCTATACTAAAAATACACAGTGAAAGTATTTTGGATAATAGATAAAAGGGATCTAATGAAATAGGTTACAGTAAGATCCATTGAATTGAAGCTAAAGCTCATCAAATTCAGTCTAGGATTAAGCCACTGCATATGAACAAAGAGCACTAACTTTTGGAACAACTACTTGTAGTCCAGTAGAGATATTCTATCACAAGAAATCTTTAAAGCCAAATTTATGCATGTTTTTCAAAGATATTCCCAAGCTTAAAACAGAAGTTCCATAATGTATGGTGCAGAAACTGCTGAGCAAGGTTCTTTGATCTGTGCTATGCAGGAGGTCAGTCTGGATGATCATAGTATTTCCTTCTGTCTTTAATCTATTGAAGTGCATTATGACAAGCTTAACATGTATTTACAAGTTTCCATCTAATTAACAGAATGTAGGAGAGTGCATTTATAGAAAAACAATCAAATATTTTTAGATACTACTGTACCTTTAATTTATTAGCTTTTGTTAAAAGCATGTAACAATCTAGAGGATATAAAGAATAATTTACAAAAATATAAATCTTGGTTATTTTATTTTAGTATTTCAACATATTACTATACTGTATATGTTACTCAGAGAATATGTTTAACAACCTGAAATTATCCAGCAAACCAAAAATGTGGGATATTACATGTCTTTTGTAGAACAAATTATATATTAAGAAAGGGTAACCAAAAATGACTATATTAACATATTGTTTAAATGAAAACTTACGCAGTGAACTATACTTGCATCCTGAAGAATATATACATTTTAAGCCCTTTATTACAGCATTTTTCAGTATAAATATGCATATTAAGAGTATGAGTGTTTTAGGCAAAAACTTTTTTCTTTGTGTACAAAAGTGATATTCTAAAATAAGCCTGCCTTTGCAAGTTCACTTCCCATCTTCTTGGTTAACTGAAGAGATAAAATAGTCAGAAAATAACACATAAGAACATATTTTAGTCCTTTGATTATGGAAAACTTTACATTTAAATTTCTCTCTAAACACTGGGTATCTTGGCTAGGTGGGTTAGGAAGGTGTCTGTAGAAGTACTGAGTTCCTGGAAGATGAATACGAAAGACAAATGACGACAGTACAGCCTATCCTTCGTGGCAAGCACGTGCGTTTTTCAGTCTTTCCGTGTGCTTTCTGTAGAGGAATTGGAGACTTCCATTGGTTCATCAACACAACTGGATTCATTTCTCCGTTACAACTTCCCAGAGCAGTCAGGCAGGATCTGTAGGCCTTGTTAGAGGTGTGTTTGCACAAACTTATCGGCAGGCACAAGTTTCAACTGACATATTGGGATATACCTTTAAAACAACATTTTTGCTCTCATCTAAGAACAGGACACTGAGTGAGCTCATTTTGTCAGGAACACAGCAGGGTTCTGGGATGCCAGGAATGATTCCTACTGCTTTCACGATGCTCTGAATTGTAGCATGATTTGATGGCCGGACAATCTAGAAAAGAGAAGGAAATAGTTATAGCTTCATTTATGAGCAGTCACTTTCCAAGGTGGACTTGGTTTAAACAGCCAGTTTCCTATGTGAACTTGGAAAATCACAACAATTATGCAGCTGTTTGTTTCTCAATAAAGCAAATACATCATTGTTTGACTTACAGGGCCATGCAGCACAGCCAGTCCCTCACACTTCCAGCTTTCCTGAGCTGGATGTATCCAACAGAAATTTTGTGTTCCTTGAGGCTACCTTCATAAATACCAGAGGAGGGCACTGGTAGCACAGCCAGCAGCCAGAGGCCTGAAGAAAAATGTCCCTGAATGTACCTGCTACATGCTGGAGGCACACATGCAGGAGAAGAAGCCTAAGCTGGGGCATAGCTCTAAATTGCTATATTTTGTTTTCTTAACCTCTTGTCTGACTTAGAAAATTTGTTACTGTAAGTATTTCCAAAATAACTATCCCTATGTTCCAACAGAATTTTTTCTCATGTATGCTAACCTGAAATTAGTTACCTTTTTCCTGAGTAATCACTCTTTTAAAAGAGCAGAGTACTCCAGAAGTAGTGTCCACAGGAGAGAGTATAGAGTAGTCAAGCACCCTGACAGAGCCTTTCTGATCATAACTGCATGACAAATAGTTAATATCTGTGGTCTTTGCTTCACTCTGCCTTCATCACCAGGCTTTTTTTTTTTAAATTTTTTTTCCCCATGGGCTAGCCTCAAACTGGGAGAAGGAAAAAAAGGCTGGGAGGCTGGGGAAAGTATGAAGTGAGGATTCACAGCAGCTGTTTGAGGTTATAGCCACAAAACCATGGTTTTCCATTTCAACATGAAAAATTATGTAGTCCATGGATAGAACAAAGGAGTTGTTTCTAGGATAATTCAGTTTTGAAACATTTGCATTAAGTGTAACATATCAGCAAATTAGATTCAAACCTTAACTATCATTAAGGCTTTCAGATCCTCCTTAACTATGCCACTAGAAGGAGTAACTATGACATCTGTCCTTGACCCTTCAAGACAATGTCCCTACAGCCAAGTCCCAACAAGTGACCAATCCTGCACAGTGCCTTTCTGTAATTAGCATATGTTAGCATAATTAGCAACAGCTTGCTCTCTTTTGCCCTCCTTCATCTTTAGATTTCAAAGCTGTCCACAGACAAACAGAACTGAGGTGGTCTCAGCTTCTGTGTGAAGTAGAAATCAGCTACTACCAACGTTGGTCATGTCAGCATATGTAGACAGCAAGAGAGAGACAGGAGATTTTGTGTGTTTAAGCAACTGTAGAGTATAGAAATTCAAAGAATTAGAGCTTCTAGAATCAAGTTCTTAATTTAGCCCTTATGAAAAACCTTCTGAACTGTTCCTAGCACCTGTGTTATTTCATGTTGTTATTTGAAACAGTCACTGATCACAATGTGCTACTGAAACAGCATTTATTTGCCCCCATGCAGTGGATAGCCATCATTGCCCTCATGGCCAGTTACTGACTTACAGGATTCCTGGCTATGAACCTGCAGAAGATCCTACAAAGATCTTCTCCCACTGTGCAGACTCTAATATCTGCAAGGAACAAAGACATATGAACACAGTCTATCTAGACTGAGCAGCTGTTTCCCAAGACAATGACACTAATTATGTTTCTAATGCCTGAATGTGGATATGCTATGCACAAAAGTGCTTAGAAAGGAAAATGCTTATGACAGACCATACTCTGTATGGGATCTGGCTGCCTGAGCCCTAAATCCACAGCAGAGCCAGACAGCACAACCATCCCACGTCCAGCCAGGCTCTGAATTTTTCCAGCCCTTCTGGAAACCTGGCATCAGTGCTCAGTGATCATGGGCTAGGCTTCACATTTAACTTTGTCCCTAAATGTGCTAAAGTAGAAAGCTTGAAATAATTAGTTGAATGCCCAGTAATAATGGCACTGAGGAAGTGCTAATGTTTTAAATGCTGGCTGCTAAGTTATATACAACACACCAGGTTCTATGACATGCAGGACTGGAATTTATTTGGCAAATACAGCACTGCAGCCAGCCATACATATAACCTAGTGTTCCTCCTCACAGTTCAGGAAATAGTAAGTGAACTTACTATGAGAAGATTTGTACCTAAGCTGTTGAGTATCTACCTAAATCAAGACCTGCAATGATTAAAGTGGATGTGCAGATACTAAAGAAAATTTACTGATACTAAAGAAAAAAAAAAGACAAAAACCTACAATGTGCTGATCCCCAACATGCCAGGTATGTAATTCTATCTCCACAGTTCTAAAAGGGTACTTTGGAAATAAGGTGTCTGTTGTCCATCACAAGTTGACTGCGTAGACCAAGTCCTTATGAATAGCTTTAATCTGGCCTTTGATACTTTCCTGACTTAGAGCATATGTGAAAGAACAAATTTCTTCCTCAGTAATATTTAGCAATTCTCATGCTCTGAACTGAATCTTCATTCATGCTGGTATCCTCTCTCTCTTCCTTTTGAAACAGTCATTTAAAAAAGCTACACCTCTGAATCTGCTTCTTTTTTTCCCCTTTGTATTACAAATACAAAGCTAACAAAATACAAAGCTAACAAGTAGTAGACCTCTTTCAAAGCAAACCCAATCAATGTATGTGTATCAAACCCAGAATTCCCAAATCTATTGTCATTTAGTTTCTCCAGTGGCTTTTTTTTTTTGGAGGGGGGAAAGTGTTTTGGGTTTTTTTTTTGTTTTTTTTTTTTTTTTCAGTTGGGTTTTTGTTTTCCTTGTTTTGGTTTTTGGGTATCAAGATATTAGTGAAGTATTTGCTTATATTTCTAGATAAGATATTAAGTAAGTGATCAATGTAAACTTATTTAACTATCCAAGCTAGAAATGAATCCTCCCTCTTCTGGCCCTACCAGCTTTTGTGTAATGCTGTTTTGCTCACAAGAAGCCAGACATGTTAAATGCATCTTTTTTGAAATGTATCTTTGTTGTTTGGTTGGGGATTTTTTTCACTGGGTTTATGTTTTTGTGTGTGAATAGTGCATTAGACTGTGAGTCTATGGCAAAGGACCCATATTCCCAGGCTGTTTTTGGTCTGGATAAGTTACATGGTGATTATGTTGCATGATCATTTTGGGTTACAACAAAGTGAAGTTGTATGTGAGTCTGTACAAGCTTTAATTTTTGCCAGACCATGGATCAATTTATGTACACCTGCCTCAGCATTGGCCAGCTACACAAGAATATGTGGTCTGATTTGTACACCCTGCCATGAAGTCTGGATTTCCACTGTTCCTGGACTTAAACTAGCCTACATATCTACTCTTCCTGGAATTATACTACTTGTTTCAACACAAACATACATCAATCTCCCTGGATGTAAAGTAGGGCAGATTCCTGTTTCAGAGCCTTGAAATGCTGTGCTGTACAGCACCATTCTTTATTTATGTGCCAAATGACCACACACAAAAATGTCAGTCGAACAAATAATCAGGCCATTTGTAGGCAGATTGCAAAATAATTACAGTTTCTAAATATGCAGGTTATGCAGTGCTTCAGATCCTCCCCTCTATCTTTACTTGAAAGCCTTATAAAATCCTAAAACTTATTGTCCAACATAGGATTACCAACCTTTCTACTTCTTGTCATAGAGCAGAGTGGGAGTGAGACAAACGTTTGCCTCTCCACTGGCAAATTTCAGGCTGCTTCTATAGGAGGAATTGAGTATGCTTACTTTAGAGTGCTACAGCCAGTTTTGTGGCATTTCTAGAGACATAAGGTAAATCAACATTTTTGTTCCAGAAAGATTATCTAACATTTTTAGAATTCAGATACACAAATATAATCTTAATCAGTATTATTGTTTTCAAAAGTGACAAGCGGTTTCCTGAAGTTAAAAATGCGTCAGTGTAACTACTCTTTATTTTTCTTCTAAAGTATTACAAGTGGAATCCAGAAATATGCTGATAGAGTAGCTTATTTTAATATTAGCATACAATACCTCATACTTCTGCCACTACAAAATAGTATTTGGATGGTTTAGTGTGTATAATCATATCTTCATAAGCTTCAAAGTCCTTATCCTATGGTTTCAAGGTATAAGATGAGTAATTATAAGATAAACCTATTTTTTCCTATAGATAAATGATTTTTTCCTATTCTTCAGAATAGGAAATCAAATTGCATTTGAAGAAAAGTGGCAAACTTTTTGCACTCTGTATACTAAAACTATCAACTATCAACTATCAACTAAGTTGATGGAAACAATATTGTTAAAATTCTCTAGGTCAAGGCAACAAAACACAATGAAAAAAGGTAAAAATCTAAAGGAAATTCTAAAGAAGTAGTTGGATAAGCAGAACAGTAGGCCTACTGTTTATAAGCTGACAAGAATAAAAAGACATACTACCTTGGGCATTGGAAATTCACATGCACCTGCACAGTAGTAAGCATCAAATGATTTGGGAGATATGATCCATTCATTCCAGCCAATATCAGCAAAGTCAACTTTCATGTATCTTCTTGAACAAATCCTTGGCTCATTCCATTGTTTTCGCCTTGCTTTCTTCATAGTTTTCTCATCAAAATTTAGCACCTGAGACTTTTTAAGTGTTTCTGTATTTTCTTGCCCTTTTCTCCTTCGATCTTTGCGTGAGGCTTTTGGTTTCAAGGACCTGTAGGCATTCTCCCATATGTCATGTTTGTTGTACTTATTGTTGTTATAATCTACTTCTGGCAACTCATTGTTCTGAATAGAGCTAGCGAGGTATGTATCCCTCCTAACTCGAGTGTCAGCAGAAGCATTAGGGGACAGATTTGGGTCCCCATCATTGGGAGGGAATGGATCATAACGCTGTAGGGTGCCTGCCACACTGTTAGGTTCAGAGATTGCAAGATCATTGGCATAAACTAGTATATAAGGTAAATGGCTGGCAATTTGTTCAGGGAAGCCCTGGTGCTTCTCCCCAGAATCAAGCTCAGCGCAGAGAATGAGCTCTCCAGCTAGTTTTGAGTCTTTTACAATGTGTGAAATGTCCTTTGCATGCCAAGCCCCTCGCCTTTGAAGAAGCACAGTGATGTTCCCTTTCACTAGTCCATAGGCAGAATTCTGGTGAATGCTTTGGAACACTAGGTTGAGCCGTAGGACTGGAGGCAGGTGAAGGAGGCGGCAGGATGAGTTCTTGGACCGTTTACAAAACACCTCCCGGTGCCGAGGGCGTTTGTCAGCATAGAAGTGAAAAGTGGCAGCAAGGATCATTTCTGAATCCTGCATGGATGTCAGATTGAAGCAGTACAAGGGCTTCTGGGCCAAGAATTCTGCAAGAGAGAAAGGAAAACATGGATGTATATATGAGACCAAAAATGGCAGTCAATCTTATTTCCATTTAAGTGAATTAACAAATTTTACTTTTCACTTACATCAAATCATTTAGTGTAGTGAGCTTGTCACCTCAGCTTAAAGCTATGGGGTGTAAGAGGAGGAAACAAACTTAACTATTTAATAACAATATTACAATATTGTAATTGTAATTGACAATGTCCAACATACTGGGTATCTTTCATACACATGAGGGATAAAATTCTTTCCAGAGATTTTTAGTTCCAGACTGCCTTTCATTCTAGGCAGACAAGAAAAGCAATCCTTTATTGTATTTTATTTATAACAAAGTCAGGCTCAGAGAAGCTGTCAAATTTACCTGCAGCAGAGCTCAGAGAAATACCTTGCTGAAACCAGTACTAGCAGAAACCAGGTTTACCTGGTTTACCAGGTTAATATTCAAGATTGTCTAATCTAAAGCTGACTGCAGATTCCTGAAAGATGTCTGGATGCTAACTCTGTGGGCAACAGCTCATCATCTGCAAGCAGTGCACATGAGACATTTCATAAGGGGCCTGGCAGTAAGCAGTGTGACACATTTTGGGGGTCATTACTCCTCTGAGCAATCCTCCATTCCAGTACACATCATGTAGGAGCTTTGTTTAAAGCACCGTAAAACACACTTGGTTTCTAAGGCTTGTGTTTAGATTTGCACAAACTTAGTGACAAATGCTATTGAACAGGAGCTGACTCTTAAAATTCAAACTCCATTTGAAACTGCTTCTTTTTAACTAGTTGAACAGTTTGTGCTCAGTTTACATCTTTACCCTCGTTTCGAGGAAGATGAGCAATTTTACACTAATAACTGCTTACACCATGTTTATTTAAACAGTAGAAACCTCTCTTAGTGTGTTAAAATGTAATCCCATCCCAGCATAAAAAGATGATGCCTTAATAGTCTATTACTGTGAAAAGTTGTCTTTGTTTTTTTACTAGCTCAACAGTATATGGGAAAGTGGTAGCAGAACCAAGAAGTGATTCCTGTTCTCCCAAACTCACACTACTACTTAGAATGCATCAAAGGATTACAGTCAGTAAACCTGCATCTTTAATTAATCCAAGTGGACCAACCTTTTGGCAGCCCTGTCTGACATACCTGAAAATTTTCTGGTAGAAGGAAGTAAAAAACTACCCCAAACCAAACAAAACCTGACAAATGCAACAGCCAGGGTTCCCAGAAACACTCAGGTTTGTTTTTCAGTGCACTATGGATGATGAGCCACAGAAATTTTGGCAACAACAGAAAGGCACTACTGTCAACTGCCACCTGTTGGAACATACTTTCTTTACAACATAGTTTCATTTGAAAGAAGGAAATTAATAGTGCTACACCTTACTAAACCGGTGGCTGCTATCTCCCAGTTAGTGCTGGATAGAACCATGATTTGGACTAAAAAACCAGCAAATTAGCATGATCATTAATCCTAAGCCCACACAGGCAATTCTGGAATACAAATGATTAAGTCTGCAATTTCCATCTACACCATCTGTATTTTATTCCTGATATAGTGAAGTGGAACAGCTTGCACTGATGTGATAAGAGCCTATTTGTTTCTGTCAGTTCAGGCAGGACAGGATTCCTATTAGTAAGCTTTGAATGAACACTAGTCATATGTATAGGTGCTCATACTATGAAAAAACTTAAGGGTTTAGAATTTATTCAAGTCTTTGAAGCACAGAAGTTTTAAAAGGCTACTAGATGATTTCTCAGGCCAAGGAAGAGAGTAATTATAATACTTCCTTTAGAACACCAGGCTTTATTATTGCATGTTCATTTCAGAAGGCAGATGTTTCTAAGAAGACATCTATCTACTGGTTCTCTCCACCCGAGCTGTGTACAGTTGAATTTTTAAGTATTTCTTTTAGTAGTAAAATGCTCCAGGCAGCATCAGCTCTGTAGTTACTGCTATGAAGCACAAGCATTGTTGGGATAAAGACTTTTCAAACACCAATGTCTCAGGGTTTCAGAAGGGAAGGTATCTTGTAATGATCAGAGAAAGAGAGACTGAATTAATCTAAAATAATTCTGTACTCTAGAATGAAACACACCCTTCAAAAGTCAAAACTCTTTGAAAAACAGAATAAGAATCTATGAATCTGCAGCTATTGAAAAGCCAGAAACCAGGAAGTACAGACTTGTTAGGAATTTAGAAGATTTGGGTTTTGGATGGAGTATAGTTATAGTTCCATATTGCATAAGTTTGCTCAGGCTTTCACCAACTTGTCAACCACGCACTGTCAGCCTTGATTTGGTTTTCTTGAACATATGCATTATGATACAGTCTTAATTAAATCAATGCTATTTTCTACTATTCATTAATGTCATTGCTTTGTTTAGCACAGAGGATGCATCATGTTCAGGAACGAGTCTGAGCTCCGAGGGTCAATATATGGGGAAGATTCATGGTTAGGCAGTAAATTGCTGCCATGAAGATTAATTCCCCTCAATCTGAGCAATGTAGGTGAAGTTGGACAGTAACTTAATATTTCATGTTTGATCGCAAACCAATTACGACTCGACTAACTTCAGCCAGTTGGAGCTGTTTTCTAAAGCTACAAAGTTCCCTGAAAACTGGAAAGCACCTAAAGAAATAGGAAACATGAGAAATTAGTTCGTAGACCATCTCTCAGCTCCTTATAAAAAAATAATGAACCCTTGTGAACACATGTAGAGGTGAGCTGAGAGGAGGTGATCAGATGTTTGTGAAGTACTCTTTCTGAAGGGGTGAGTACTGCTAAAGGAACAAAAAAAAAAGAGCTGTATTTGGGCTACATGCAAACAGCACATGCATTTATATTTCAAGTGCCTCACATTGCATATGGAAAAATATTACACATTCCATAGCTCGGCCAACACCACCTATACCCTCTAAGGAGCAGGTAGGATGGCAATATAACTGGGTGGTTGAGGGGAACTCAGTAATGCATATGACAAAGGACAAATGTCTGGATCACATTTTGTATCTCTGGAGCGTTCATCTTGACAACTGTAAGTAACCCTAATACTTGAGTGTCACCTAACAAACAGCTTTAAACAGCACCACAGGAACAGACAGTTAACAGATTTTCTGAAAGGTAAGTGATAAAAGAAGTAAGTCCATTGCTTGGGATAATGAAAATTATTGTCTGTATAGTCTGTTTTGCTTATTTCAGTAGGACTACAATTATTGTCTGTGTTTTATAAAGAATGGATGGTCCATACATCTTATTAGTAAAACGTGCCAATTTCCTCTTTCAGAAGGAAACAGAATTTCTCAGAGAAGATAAATGTGGTGGCAGATAAGGTTTTTCTCTCCTCCCTCACCTTGGATCATTCTATGGTATATTTTAGAGTGTTTAGCACTAGCTTGATGAACACAGTTCAAAGGAACAGTGCAGAGGAACTTCTGCTTTCATGGCATGTTATTTGAGAAAGATGGGATCCAATAGAGAAGGCACATAAGATAAGACACAGGATAAGACACGAGTTTTGGACATAGATATGCCTTATTTCCATTGCAGGGAAAGCCAAGTTAGTTAATTTTGGGCCTCTCTGCCTTGGTTGCATGATCAGACAAATGAGCAAAATAATATTGATTTGTATTTGGTCAGCACAGCCTACCTGTGGGTAGAAAATGCTGCTATTTTAGTTTTTTTAAAACAGAATTACAACTTAGAGTACTTTGATGCAAGCAGTGCGTGCATCAGATTGTTTGAAAAATTAAAAAAAAAAATATAGTGCAATTCTTGCCTTGTCCCCAAATCCTTCTTGTAATCCAGGGCGTTATTTGGGTGACAGTCAGTAGTAGCTGCTCAGTTCACAGAAAAACATAAGCGTTAACAGTAGGTCATGGAAAACCATCCACAGTGGAAGCTCCTTCCTAACCCCTATTATAGTGACTGCTAGGTAATGATCTAGAGCATGACAATTTATTTTTCTCCTAAGTGTCTGCAATTGCTTTAGATAGTAACTCCTAGATTTTTAAACATTTTCATTAGCCACTTACTCTTCCATGGAGTTTCCCCCTCCTTGAATATGATTGCTTTTTAGTATTACAGTTGACATAGGATAGAAATTAAATTGGGGTGCACAAGAGAATATGAATTATTGTGCAACATTATAGTAAGCATTCCCTAAACCACTGTATGCTGCATTGTACTCTATACATGAGAGTTAAGTGGAGGAGAAATCGATTAATGCAAAATTTGCTTTTGTGAGTTTCAATCCATCTGATTTGTCTAAATAGAATAATGAATGTTTCTGACAAGGTAGTAACAACTTGTTGTCTGGAAACTCATGCAGTTCTTATTTTAAGAACTAAGGTCTTAGTTACAGTCTGTAAGTGTTAACCAAAGAAGGAAGATGTTTTCCAGAAGAGAATTTGCATTTACTTGGCAAAGGATAACAAATGTATGGACTATTAACTAGGCAAACCTCGTTTTTATTATTTGACGTAATATTGGGATAACGAAAGTGTAGTTTTGACACAATACATACGTTTCTCCACCCTCATAATCAAGCCAAGTAAAACCGGGGAGAGGGAGGTCAGGTATGTGTCGTCTCAGGTTCAGGCAGTGCAAGGAATTTAAGATGCCGAGCAATTTTAGGCGGTCCTGTAGGCGGCACTCTGCCTAGCAGGAACTTCTGAGGCTGCGAGAGGAGCCGGGCAGAGGACCAGTGCCTGGAGCACTCGCTACTAGGTTTATGCTCCAAGTATTTCTGAACAGATCCTTTGGCCCAGTGCGATGTGCGCTGGGAACAGCGCTTCTTTTGCCGCTGGTTTGCATCCACAGCAACGGAGACTTTTCCCAGGGGAAGTACTCTCCGGGAAGGGAAGGGAGCCAGGGAAGGTGGGAAGCCTCGCAAAGCGAGGGGCGACACCCTCCCTGTCCGTGTGGGCAGCAAGGGACCCCCGAGCATTCACCCAGAGCGACACCCCCCGCAGTCAGTGACAACCTCGACGCAAACCCGTCACTTTAAAGCGAAAGAGGAGCGAGGGGGCTCCAGCGGTGCCCCCCGCGCCCGGCCCGTCTTACCCGGCCTGGCTCTGAAGCTGCGGACCGTGTTGCCGTCGCCGGGCCGGCTCCCTTCCCGGTTGTACTTCTCGTAGAGCTTAAGCATGTGGACAGCTACCATGTCCTGAGCGATGCTGCCCAGCCCAGGGGGCGGCGAAGAGCCGCGGCGGGGGTCGCGGCCGGGGGCGGACGAGGCCGGGCCGGCCGGCGGCGGGACGGGGCAGGCGGGCTGGCTGCCGGCGCCCTCCCCCTCAGGCGAGCGGCAGCCCCCATGGCCCAGGGCCCACAGCAGGAGGCAGCAGGTCAGGCGGGCGGCCATCGGGGGATGCTGCGGGCGGGTGGCCGGGCGCGGAGCGGCGGCGGCTGGGTCGCTGCCTGCGTCTGGGTCTCCCGGTTGGCCCTGCCGCACCGGGGCGAGGGGGCGGCGGGGCCAGGGAGGAGGAGGGAGGGTGGGGGCGGCCCCCCCCCGCCGCTGATGCCGCCTCCGCCGGGCCAATCCCCGGGCCCGGGGGCGAGGAGCTGCGGGCCGGGGGCGGCGGAGCGGGGGCAGCCCCAGTGCTCCGGGTGCGGGGGGACTGCGGGAGGGGACGCTGCATTTCTCCGACGTGGGGCTTCCCCGCTCCTTAAAGCGTAGCGGGAGAAGGATCTAAATTAATTAGCGCCCAGCTGCTGATGAGAGACACATGTCACCGCCGCCGCCGCGGCACGGAGCGCTGCGGCAGGACGGCACCTTGGCTGCCTGCGCCAGCCGGGAGCCGGGGGGGCTTGGAAACCATGTCTGAAAGAGAGAAGCATTAGATACCAAGCAGGGCGGGCAAGCGGTGAGGGGACGGAAGGGTGAGTGGGTGGCAGGGGCAGCGGCAGCATGACAAGGGAAGGCTGTGCATATACGTGCCGAAAGTGCAGGAGTCTTTGCTTTTCCTCTCTGCTGGCAGCACTGACAGTGCTGTCTTGTGAAGGCAACGCTGTGAATAGTGTTTATTTCAAGGACCCCTGTGAAAAGAGAAGTCCCCGTGGGTCCGTACTCTAGAAGACGCAGTGTGAGCCAGCCGGGAGTGCAACAAGGGTCACTGATAATTCCAAGCAGATACTTAAATGGTCGGGGTTAAAGGGGCTGTGCATGGGTAAACTTTCGGCATTGGACTATTTCTATGTGTGGTTTGAAGGAGGAGAATACTGGTGTGAATTTCTGAAGGATTTACATGGCTTAGGTCGGAGGGGGTTGATTTAAAAGTGAATGGTGCATGTTGCACTTATTCATCATGTGACACAGGTACTTCTGAATCATAGTGATCCAGCGGGTATAAATGCTGGTGTAATGAATAGCACTTTTAAAGACAACCTATAAGGAGAGGGGTATATTCTAAGGGAATTTTAAAATTCTGCCTCCTTTTTAAAATCTTTTTCTCTAGTAGCCAAGACAGATACTTTTCTTGGAGATTATACAAAGCAATAATTGAAAAATTGTTGGAAAAAGCTACTGTTGCTGTGTATACACAACTCTTTTGTGCTTGTTTTTTTTTTAACCTTGGAGTGTCAAGTCTGAGCAGATACCATTGAAAGCCTCTGAACCACAAGTTTGTAGTTTTTGGATCATAGAAAATAAAGGTTTGATTCATTTTTAAAATTAGCACCAGGCCTCAGTGCTCTGTGCCCTTTGAATGTGTGAAACAAACAATTTGCAAATACAAATTTGCCCAAATGTACATTGCTAAAGTATCAAACCTCCTATTAATTAATCTTTGCTTATAAGTAAGCCAAACTACCCTTTGATGCTTTTTTTTTTTCTCCATGGTAGCATGCTCATGACCTCCACTGGGGGTGTGAGCGAACCTTTTGTTGTTTGTGGTTTTTGTCTGTACTGTTTCTATACAATCAAGGTCCTGTGAAAAGGAGGAAGAGGCAGCAGGAGGTAGAAACAAGCTGGGCTATTTTGGACCAATGTCCCATTAAAATGTTCTCCCTCTCCTTAACTCACTCCAAACTTCTATTCAGGCATACACTTTGTATCAGTCTTTAACCTGCACTAAAACCTGTAGGACACTGATACTTTGACATTGTTGGGAAAGAATTGAAGAATCAACCAGGGATGGCTAATATTTCTTGCCTTATTTTATTGCAGAACAGCAGGAATTCAAAGTCTTTAAAGCTGTGGTACTTTGACTCTTTTATGCAGCTGAGATGATGAAATAAAAATGTGTTTGGTAAAGGAATTCAAATTAGCACTGGGTCACATAATTCCTCTGTTCTGAATATGGCCAATCAATGGCATCTCTAAGGCATCTAGAGGCAAGAGCTATGCAATTTCTGCTCATGCAGAATAATATTCCTAGCGTGGAAATTTCTGCTAATTAAAGCTCTTGCCAAGTAGAGTCTTTTTTCTTTTTTCTTTTTCTTTTTCTTTTTCTTTTCTTTTTTTTTTTTTCTTTTCTTCTTCCCTTAAATAGCTTAAGTCAAAGCTTTGCAAGCCAGGACTTGGAGAAAGTCTCCTTATAGTCAGAACAATGCATTCAAGATTTTAAACTGCAGATCTAAGTTTCCTGCTAAAATCATTGTGATATAAATAGTGTTACATACCCTTAATAACAGCTTATATGTGAAAAAGAAACGAAATAATGTTTTCTTATGGAATTAGTGATATCTTCACAAAGGAACTATTGTGACCTGTGCTTGTGTTTTGTTGTAGGAAATACACAGTAAATATACAAAAGGGGATATAGAGCACCAGGAGTAGTATCTATTCTACTCTTGTTCTATGGTAAAATAAATTATTAACTCCCTTTAGGAACATATCTATGTATATTAAAATAATTTTCCCTGACTCTTTTATTTTTAATAATAAAGTCAGTAGCAGGGATAATAAAGCTTAAAACTCCAGGGAAGTTACAGAAACATAAATTATTATTGAATTTGGGCTTCAGTCCAAATTTCTGGTTACTACTTATTGTAGGACAGCTCATTCATTTTTCACTCAGAAAAATACCTCACTATCTGTAATGCTACACAATTAGCTAAGGCCATTCCTTAACTTATTAATTAGAAGTTAGCTAAGTGAAATGCAGTGGTCTGCAGGTTCTCATAGAATTGGGTGGCAGAACTCTACAAAGCCTTTTCACATTCCTTCCAAAATCACATAGTGTGACAAGGATGTTATATGGTCAGTGATATATGGTCAGTAAAATGGGCTTTTGTATTTAGTTCCGTTTTCCTAAACAATGGTGAAATTATTTTAATACCCCAGAAAGAACAAAGATATAGTGGTGTTTAGGTATTAGAGGAAGCAGAATGCTCAGAGCTGATCCAGAGCTCTGGAAGGCTCTTAATGTTGAGAGAGGAGTTTGGTATATCAGGCAGGGAAAGTTTGCCTATTGTTGGCAGGGAAAGCTTTTCCTCTTAAGAAGCAGCGCTAATTCTCTCAGACCATCCTATCAGCTCAAGAACAACCTCTCACCTTGGATTTCCATTCTTGGTCCACGATCTCACTTATTCCAGACTGTGACAAGAATAAACTTTCCCCCTGACAGTCTCCCCATCCTCCATCCTTAGTGACAAAAGTTTATTTTGTCTATCTTGCTAAGAAGCAAAAATTGCCTCTATTCTCATCCCACCAAACTATCAATGATCATCATTACAGAAACTAAGGAATTAGGATGCACAGATGAAGTGTAATTTGTCCCACCCTATTGTAGATGTCCAAAATTGCTCATGTGCTCTGTGGTCTAGTGGTGTCTGTGGCTTTTCATTGGCTACAAGAAATCTCTGTCAATGGGCTAGATGTGCAGAGGAGGAATTTCATTCCTTATGGTTGTGTGAAGTAGAGGGCACCTTCCCATTCCAGTTTCACTGTTCAGCCTTAGGATTAGCATTTTTCAAGTCTGGGGTTACTTTCAGTTTCTCTTTACACAGTTGGCTTGTACCAAGCATTGGTGTATTAATAATCTCTTATCCCCATCAGCAGTGGAAATATTGTATCTATTGCTTTTCTGGTTTTATCTCACTGACAGTCCAGGATTTTTTCTTCCATACTGGAAGACTTTCAGAACATGTATTTTTGACAAGTCTCAGGAGCCAAAGATGTGTGTTTCTATCTTGAGGTCCACCATTTATGCTTGTAATGAGGATAGTATGGACAATTATCAGACAAGCATTTCCCATTCTGTTGCTACCCAGAAGTCACCAGCCTCTGTGGGGGGATTTTCTCCATGCATAGATTACCAAGTGCAAAGGTATCAGCTGCTATTTGCAGAAGTAGTAATTCTGTGATTACCACGTACTTATCGTGTTTTGTTTTGTTGTTGTTGTTGTTGTTGTTGTTGTTTTTGGTTTTTTTTTTGTTTGTTTTTTTTTTAGTTTTGTTTTGTTTTTGTTACAGCAGGCACTTTCAATTTTTCAATGGCCCATGCACCACCATATAGAGTCATTTAGGAAGAAAATTTTTTTTTCTATTAAGGGAAGAAACTTTTTCAGTGGAAATTCTGGTGGTAACCCATGTCTGTTGAAAAACTGGTCCACCCAGGTTGGTTATTCTGCCTTCGAGCTCACCTGAACTGCAGTAGCTCTTGTTACTGTTTGAGATGTCTCCTTACGGTGAGAGGGTGCATCACAAGTGCCTGGCCATTGTGCTGCCTGGGATACCTTTCTTCTATGGGAGAGGGAAGCTACAGACCATGCAGGAGAATGAGAGCAGAAGGTAATCAGACCATTCAGATGTGGCTGAAGCAGAGGTAGACAACTTCAGGGAGGAAAAGGGCTGGTGGTTGTGGTGTTTAAATCCATTTTTGTGTTCAAAACCAATTTAAAGGAAATTATTCAAGCAGCTCTAGGCACTAGTCTTTAAGTTCCAGCCTGCAACCTCTAAGGCTTTGAATTCACAGTCCTTTTAGGCAGTTTGTTTCGTAGGCAGCCAAGACTCTCGCAGAGGTCAGTGTTCAATACACATCCAGAGTTCTGCATGATGCACTCTGGCAGGATCCATATCTGATGAGCCACTAGTGCTTAGAAGAGAACAAGTGGGAATGGGCTATGCAATAGCCAGACCTGGTGAGGCTGCAGTGTACCCTTGTACCCCCTGCACCAGTGCTGGCATGGCCAGCTGCCATCTGCATCTTCAGACTCCTGTTTACAAGTGGAATTTGAGAGAGGGTGGGGGAAAGGCAGCAGCAGCTGGGAACCATCGGTGACCACAGCTGGTTTTGCAAAGATCTTCCTGCAGATTGAGTTGGGATGTTTCCGGGGTTCTCTGCGTCCGGGTAACGCTGCAGACGAGAGGAGGCTGTGCAGCGCCGCTCGCACGGCGGCTCCGCGCACACGGTGCTCGGG